TTCAAAGCACCATATTTTTGTGAATAAAATGAGAAGTCAAAAATCATGTATAAAACACAGTTTAAAACTGTAATTCTAAAGGAAAGTTGCTCAATGCAGCAGAAATTCCATCTGAAAATTGAAACCAATAAAATTTTAAAGAAGAAAATAATTAAAAAATTTTTATATTAGTTTTAATGTTTATTTAAAAGATTTATTAAAGAAATAAGATTTATTGTTTAAAGTTTTAATGTTTAAAATCTTTTAAAGTCACTAGGATTTTGTTTATGTCTAGGATTTGAGTAAATTCATGGCGAATTAATTTTTTGCATTTAACGTTAAATTTAATTTTATGCAAAGTACAATTAAAAGATATTTCATGCTCATGTTTCGTCACACGCCCAAACAAGGAGCCCTGTAGTTAAACTTGACGTGGGGATGACTTCGGATAAAAAGCTACTAAGTCAAATTTTATGTTTACTTAAATTTTAAAATATTAACTATATTCCTTAATGATAAATTTTTAACAAAATATTTGCACATAACAAAAGTTGTTAGAAGCTTTATCAACAAGCGTAATAATTAACTTATTTTTAATTTTCTCAAACATATCATATTTAATTACTGTAGAGCTAGGATAAAAACAAAATTTAGATTTGTTTAATTTATTTTTTACCATTTCAACAATACTTGTTTTCTATTCAATAAAACCTTGAATGTGCCAATAATATTTTCTGGAAACCTTAGCAATAAAAAAACAATGAAATAATGATTATGAAATTTTCAATTTCTTGATTTTGATAATGTCACTCTTTTTACATTAGATTTTAAAGAAAAAAAAAATAAGTGATAAGCTTGATTTAAAGAATATTTGTGTTAGCAGTCTTACAACTCTTTTTCTCTATGGTTTAAACAGTAAATTAAATGGTGGAGGTATTATTAAGATTGAAGATTTTTGTATTTATGATAAATGAGGAAGTGGTAGAGGAGCTAGTAAATTTATTATTTTAATATTGAGAAGTATATTTTTAGAATTAAAAATAAAGTATTAAAAAATTTCTTTCATAAATTTTGAAATAGACTAAGATTTGATACTGAACTTATTAAATTTATTATAATATATTTCGCTAAATCTTGGTGTTAATAACACAGAATTGCTTCTTAAAAGTGATTTTGATGTTCAGAAGGTTTTTCGTACAATTAACTTTCATGATAAAAAATTTGAAATTGCTAAGATTTCACAGGTTATTCATTGTTTTTCTGATATTTTTCCTTTAAAACAACTTGAAGTTGTTGCTGCTTATAAATATCCCTCTACCCTTAGATAAAAAGCTTGAAATTATAACTTTTTAAGTCGCAATTTAAATTACATATTATTGTTTGATTGTTATTGTAATACTGATGAATTTTCTCTGTTTATTGATAAGGTTTATGGTTATGTTATTACCGGGAATTTAGATATTGTTGGAGATAGAAATTTGATTAAAATTTTGAGTAGAAGGTCAAAATTTAGAACAAGGTTAAAAATGAAAATTTTATTTTATAAGTTAAAAAGTATCTGGATTGATTTATTGCTAAGGTTTCTAGAAAATATTATTGACCTATTGAAGGTTTTGCAGAATGGAAAACAAGGATTGTTAAAAGTGTAAAAAAAAAAAAATTAATTAAACAAATCTAAATTTTGTTTTTATTCTAGTGGTACAGCAATTGGTTATGATATATTTGAGGAAATTAAAAAACTTGAAAAAATAAGTTAATTATTACAGTTCTTAATAAAGCTTCCAACAACTTTTGTATTATGTGCAAATATTTTATTAAAAAATAGATTATTTATTAAGGAATATGATACTGATAATACTCATTGAAATTAAAGGATGGCAAAGAAGTTATTGACAGAAAGATTATTGCTTTTAGTAAAAAATTAAAATTTCAACTGAATAGGATTACTTATCCTTATTTGTTTCCAATTGTTAAATTTCTTAAAAATCCAGTTAAATTCAAATTTACAGCTTGTGGTACTAATAGTTATAATTCTTATTTCTAGTAAAAAATTCTTTAATATTCTTAAAATTATTTTGCTTCAAATTAAAAGTGAGAAAAATTTTGTTGTTAATAGTAATATTCATGGTTTGAACTTAATTTTAAAAAAGGATTTTTTTTTAATATTAATACATTTGACTTTGAAAATCTTTATACCAGTATACCTCATGCTTATTTGATATTTGTAGTTACATTTATGATAAATATTTAATTTATGAAAATATTGATAAAAATTATTGGATTGATATTTGTAAATTTATTCTTTTTAAAAATGTTCTTCTTAATTGCATTGATTTTTATAAACAAAAAATATGGATACCACAAGGTAATTCTTTTCCTGGAACTTTTGCTAATATTTTTTGCATTTTTTTAAGCAAATTATCTTGAGTTTAATGATTTTAAGGCTTTTAGATATATTGATAATTTAATTTCATTTGTGAAAATTATGATTTCATTTATAATATTTATCCCGAAGACTTGGTTTTGAAGAGGACTAAATGAAAATTGATTAAATATTGAATATTTAGATTTTAAAATTAATATTGCTAAGAATCAAATTAGAATTGGTGTTTATAATAATAGGAATGCTTTTAATTTTAGGATTATTTTTTCTGTAATTTTGATACAAATTTGTATAGTAATATTTTCAAAAATTTAGTTTCTCAACTGTCTAGAATTAATAAAATTTGCAAAAATGTTAAACACCTTTAAGAGGTTTCCTGTAATTTTTTAAATTATCTAGAAAGAAATGGTTTTCTTTTTAATTTTTACAATATTGAAATTAAAATGAAAAAAAAAATATTAAAAATTATTGGTTTTTGTTTTCTTTTAATAGGGCTAGATCAAGACTTAACTGAGTTGCCCTAGTTAAACTTTTCTACTGACAGGTGGCAACAGCTTTCTTACTTTCCTTTTTTTCCTTCTTTTTGTGCATTTAGAGGGGGCAAAGTTTGGTTAAGGATTTTTCCAGAATGTAGTGTGCTTTTGTTTTTACAAAAAAATATGTTTTTTCATAGGTTTTTTGAAAATTGTTTTTTGTTTTGTTATTAGTTTATGTGTTTTACTTTTGTTTTTGTATTTTGTATTCTCTTTTTCACTCTTCCTGGACTTCTTGCAAAACCTTTAGGGTCCAGAGAGAGCAAATTTTAGAAATTTGTCGTGCTCTCTCGATGTAAAAGAGCTTTGTATATTTATGACTTCCGGTGCTGGTATGCCCTGACGATGTCGGCTACGGTTGTCATTACTATATTTTTCATTGTTTTCTTCTTTAAAATATTTTTGTGAACTGTTTTTCAAGTTTTTTTATAAGTGAATCAAATGTTATAATTTGGATTTTATGCTGTTGTAAGACTTCCTAATGTACAAATAATTTAATAAAAAAACTCTTGAAAACTGTATTAAAATAAACTCTTTATGTTTCAATTACTTGAAAACTATACAATTATAAATTCACTATGAAGATAAAATAAAAATTATTGCATCAAAACTTTAATTTGATATATATTTACTTTATTGCATGTTAGTATTTATATATTCGCAGGTATTTTAAATTAATGTTTTAAATTCGCAATAAGGAACTTTGCAATCATTATGAATATCATTCTAGATTTTGATGAATACATAAAAAATCCAATACTTATCGTAAAATATATATAACATTTTATGCCCCGTGGTAGAATCGTGGTGACATTGTCGCAGAACATTACAGAGTTCTTTCAGAAAGATTTTTTATTTGGGAAGCAACGCTGTTTTTTTTTTTTATCTGCAGAATTTTTCGATTTTTTTTTTCTCCAGAAATTTTTTTCCCCCTTTCTGCAGAATTATATTCAAAAAATGCTTTTACTCGCATTTTGGAGGTGGAATAAACACTCGTAATTTTTTCTAATAAAAAAATTACGCAATGATTGGCTTGAGCTAAAATTTCAGATTGATATAAAAATTTTATAAAATTTAATTCTTAAAATTTAAAAAAAGTTAACAATACAAATATTTTTCAGAACAGGAGAATATTGCCAATAATATTAGAATATGTATTCTTTTATATTTAGATTTTAAAAATCTTCTTACATTTATAATTAAAAAAATAATGTACTGCTCTGTTCTATACATAAAGGCTTTGTTTTTTTAACAGAAAACACTTTTGTTTCTTTAAATTAGTTACATATATGTTTGCTACTATTAAAAATGTCTTTCAGAAAGCTGTTAGTACTAGAGAGAATTGTCGCAGAAAGCTCGAAAAAAGTTTGCCACAGGGATATTGTGTATTTGTTATTTGTCATTAATTTATTTATAAACAGATTTTTTTTTCTCTTTGTATTAAGATGTATCAATAAATATTATTTAATGAGAAATATTTAGCTGTTTTAGCTTTTTTTTAGCTGTTAAAATGTCCGTCTGTAAGATTGGCTTTTTTTAATGCAGAGAACAAATTTTTCACTCATCACTGGTGATGCATCTTTTCAATGTTAACTTTTATGTTCAAGTGAATGTAAGTGGTTTAGAAGGAGAAATCTTCTTTGGTTAGCCTTGGTACTCAATTGAATTCAAATCATTTTTCCAACTGATTTTGTTTTTAAAATTAATTCAGAATATAAAAATACTAAATTGTAATTGAAAAGCGGAAAATAGTGTTGCCAGGTAAAGTTTATATTGGCCACCAATGACAACCTATTTCACAAGCCCTGGTAATAGAAAACGTTTTATTTAATAATATTAGACTATGTGTGTTTTAAATTTGAAAACTTATTTTGCTTAATTATGGATATTTATTTGCATAACTTTAATTGATTTTTTTAAAATTAAAGGTACAAATATTTTAGTGCCTTCCAAACAAACACTTATAAAATTTAGACATTGAAACATGCTTATTATAATTAAGAAAGATTCTTATGTAGATATTCTTTTCCTTTTGATGTGCATTTTTTTAGTGTATGTAAGTCTATCATTTTTTGTAATAATACCTTTTCAAATGATATATGTAGGGTCATATGACATCCTATGCGACTGGAGAGTTACAAAAGTATACATCTTTTCAAGTGCATGTAAGCAATGAAGTACGATCTATCGTACCCCACGATGCTGGAATCCTCTCCCTCACCAGTAACTCACTAAGGATGTCTGCTAGAAGAGGACTCCCCATTTTCAACCACAGGTATTTACTTTTCTAATGATTTTATATGCAGTTACTGTAGGGAACATCAATATTGAAATACTATTTGAAAAGATTTAAACTTTTATACACATAGTATAGAATAAGTTAAATTAGATCATCTTTCAACTGGGATTGCAAATTGATATTTGTTGTCTCTATTTTCCTTAGGGCAAAATATCAAAGCACAAATCTATGTTGAATCATATTTTGAATCACTTTAAAGCCAAAATTCATGAATTTGATGCAAAAGAAACAGCTGTCAAACAGCCTGGTCAAAATCATGTGTGTCAATATTATTGTTGATAATCTAGAAATAAACATCTGAACTAAATGTTGTTATGAACAAAACTGTGTTATTAGAAATTTAAAATAAAACAAAAACGAGATTCTAGTTTTCAAAAATCCTATCTCCATTAATGTATAAAAACATATTATTCTCAATAAAAACTGATTTCCATTAAGAAACCAAATCGAGGTTATGTTTTGGAAAAAAAATTTATTTCACACCATTAATAATTTTTTGCAGTTTAAAATTTTTCCTAAAAGTATTTGTTTACTAGAGAGGGTGAGCATGAATTTAAAAATTTATTTTGTAATGAGACTCCATCCATTAATGAGAATTTACCTCTTAAAATAACAGTAATGTACACTTATCAACTATTCCAAAAAGAAATCCTTCTTTATACATCAGTTAAATTTAATTTTGACTGCAATTGTGACATCTTACTTTGTTGCTGCCTTTACAATTCTCACCGATCATTTTTTTGTTTTGTTCAATCTTCTAAAAGGAATTTTTTTCTGTTGATAAGTCTACTATTTAAATATGAGTACAATACAAAGTCCCATATCCATTTTCAGGAAACATCTATTTTTTGGACAGTTAAAAAAACCTTCACATTTCTGCTCCAGGATTGTCAATTTATTTCAAAATAAATTAGCGTATTTAAAAGTGCTTTTTTTGCATAATTTTTATAGTACAAATATCAATACAAGAATTAAATGGATACAGATATAACAAAATAATAACAAATAAGATACAAATAAATAAGTAGTAGAATAAAGTTAGTTTAAAATAAAACAAAAAATCAAAAATTGTTGATTTCTTCAATTGTGGTCTCATTTTAATAACTTTTTTTCCTAGCTTTTTGAGCATATAGAAAAAGATATATTCCCCATTGGATGAGATATCATCTGCAAAAATCGATAGTTTCTTTTGTATAAAAAGACAGGAGTGATTTATTTGCTTTGTCATATTTTAAAGAATAACTTTTTTCTTTGTCATTTTCATTTGTGATGTCTTCATAACTGTTATCTACAGTTATCAATTGTTTATGTTTGTTAAATCAGTGACTTAATGAGTTGTAAAAATATTTTCATTGCTGTTGGAAAAGTCCTCTATCTGAATATCATTCTCAGCCTTCTTACAATCAAACTCGTCTCCTCTCATAATGCTGTAAATTTTCATCTATAAGTCGAAACAAAGTTGCCTTTATATAGAGATTTTTCTATTATTAAGAAGCCAAGACCACAACATAGTCTTTTAAACGAGATTGTTGTTAAATGGTACGCTATTTAAGAGGGAAGTGTTTGTTTCGTGAAATGAATGTTGAATTTTTTCCCAACTAGTGTTGTTGTTGTTAATCTTTTAAAAAGGGAGGATGTTAAGAATTCCAATATTTTATGTACGGTATATAACGGTGAAAATGACCCATTGTGTAAGTCGAACCTCAATTTTTGACTACATATTTGCAAATTTTCGGCATAGCTAATGTAAATTGACCTACAAATAAACCATATATGAAAGTTTTTAAAACTTAAAACAAAAAAGAAAAAAATCAAGTCAAACATTTTCTCAAGTTAAAAATATTTAACATTGCTCTCTTTTATTGATATTATACATTCGCCTTCAAATAATGTCGTTGTAGATTTTTTTTAAAAATGTGGAATTTCAAATTCTGCATATGGGAGTGAAGGCATTTGTAGCTTTATTAAATGTTCTAAAAGTTTTCAATGCATTATATTTTTTAAAATTACTCTTGGATAAATTATTTTTGCTTTTTTTATTCTTGATTTTTGGAGTTTAGTTTAAAGTATTGTTTTTATTTTTTAAAAAAACCTTTATATGTAAAGGAAATAGGGTTAGAGAAAATGCAAAATTTTTCAAATACAAATATAACATATTAAAAATCGTTTTTGAAATGGGTAAATTGATACAGATTTATTCATATCTAAGTATCTCATTGTTTATAATGAATTGGTATTTCACAATCAACGAATGTCCCACTTTATTACAAGAGTATTAGTTGACCTGAGGTTCGTCAAATTTTGTGGGTTTAAAAAGTCAACTTATATCTGGAGATATAAGGTATTCCTTTTCTTCATCTGAAAATAATTTATAGAAATGTTACAAAAACTTTATTTTCTAACTGCACTTAGTAAAACATTCTCTAATTAAAGATTTAAAATTTTTTAGATTAGATCAGGGTTTGTTGATTTAAATCAACTGATTTCTTATATACACATATATTGATTTAAAAAGTTAAGAAACAGTGTTTTAAATTATTGATACTTTTTTTTGTTGCATTAAATAATTTTAGTTAACGAAATTATTTTCTTTCTTGGTGTGTGTTAAATTCCAACACATTTGAAATTACACTTTTAAAAATCTTTTGATTCTTGAGATTGAAAGTAAAGTAAACATTCGAGATTGAAAGATTAAAGTAAACATTTAATGCTGTCTTAATATAGACTTGCATAGTCGTTGAAATTAATTCGTAAACATGAATTTTCCCCCCTCAAAAAATACAAATAATATTAATTAAAATTCTACCTTTTGATTGAAAAAGCATGAAATTAAAATCTACATTATATTTTATTGATGTAGGATTAAAAATGAATATTTTAATATTAAAATATATAGATTAAATATTTATTTATTTATTGATGAATGACTACATTTATAAACACAGTCTGTTGCATTTATTTTGTCATATTAAAAATCAAGAGAAAAAAATCTCACTTTTTAATTAAAATTATGGTTTGCTAATTGAAACTTTGTTTTAATAGTTAAAGAACAGGGATCTGTGTCCAAGCCAAATTTATTACCACTTAGCGGTACCTTTACAAAATACTTCACTCTATCTGAATCAGCACTGTGGTAAGCACATGTTAGATGTGGAATTTGTATTGACTAGCCGGGTTCCAATCCCAGCCGATACTGGGATTGGAACCCGGATCACCTCATCGAAAGGTGACCAAATAATTTTTAAAAATTATTCAAAGAAAAACTTTTTTCCATCTATTATATTATAAAATATAATATTTTCCATATGTTATAAACTTACTCGTAAAGGG